ATCCATCCATCCATCCATCCATCCATCCATCCATCCATCCATCCACAAAATAATCACATTTTATAAAAATAACAGAATAAAAGAGAAGAATATGATATGAATAAAGGATAATATCATTTCAGAAAATACAATCAAAGAAAACAGGATTTACTCTCAAAACCTTTTTTCACTGAGATGTTTTTCAAAGTTTCTTTTCTAAATTGCAATTTTATTTTAAATTCCCATTTACAGAATTTACAAAATGAGTTCTTGACTTGTTCATTTCAAAATGTTATATTTTATTGATCTTTCTCTCTCATTTTAAATACGATAAAAACAGAAAAAACTGAAGAAATTGAGCACAGAATTGTACTTAATAGAATCGGTTTGTTATGCAGGCTGCCACTGATCCACCTGCATCAGAGACATGCCAGAGCTTTACTTTTCCCCAACACCTGTTAGAATAAGACCCAGGTTACAATTTTAGGAATAAGAAAAGTCTAAATTTTGTAGGAGCCCAATCAGCTGTAACTCAGTATGTCAGTAAGTCAGTATAGCCAAACTTTCCAAAAACTCAGCTCTCAATGCAAAGGAAGAAAGACCCAAACTATTACTGGAAGACGCACCTGACAAAGTGGATGGTGGAAATAATCTCCTCATTTTTAAATATTGTGCGGCACATTTCATCAAGCTGTGATCTGCAGAATCCTTCATTGAAAAACATTATTAAGAAGCAAAGACAGTTAAAGAATCCTGACATTTTTACTGTGGATTTTCAACTGATTTGAGGCATTTTAAGAAGAAATGCAGACCTTTTAAAATCTTATTTAATTGGAAAAAGCATTATTTTTGTTCCTTAATTTCAACTTGATGCTCAACAGCAGAGTTACCACCCATTTATTTCACCTGGATGAAGAGAGATTAAATAACATTCTGTCCTTGCTAAGAAAACATGATAAAACACAGATGTCTTAATTTAAATTACACAATCAAACCTTCACAATTCCATCTTCTAATTATTTTTTAGTTATTTTTTTGTGTGACATCACTAGTTTCAGCCTGACAACTTTGTTGTTATAAAGTTTGGGCAAACCTCCACTTGACTGTGAAAAATCTTAACTCATTGCTGTTTGTGACCTGAGGCTGTTATTTTATTTTAGTTTTTTTTAGGAAGTCAAAAAAAATAATAATATATAGTATATAATATATATAATATATGATGATGAGCTAGTTATTAGTATTTTAAGACCTTATTTTGAGATTTTAAGTGCTGGCTAGCTCAAGTGGTAAGGCCCTGGGTACGAATCCCTGCTGGGGGGAAATGAGCGGCTTCTTTGGGTCCTTAGGCAAGACCTTCACCCTAATGCCTGCTTTATGAGTTGCTTTGCAAAAAAGCATCTGCTAAATACATAAAAATAAGACCTACAGAGCTATATAGTAAACCTCTTAGCTATTTTTTCCTGCTTGAGTTGGAAAAGAATTTGCAAAGCCGCCGTATTTCCTGCATAGCAACAGATTATCATAATATTTAAAAATAAGGAAATGTAAAGCAAATGCCTTTAAAAAATGCAACTTTGAACATTATGATGTGCTTGCAAAAGGACATTATAATATATATCTATGTGTGTTTTTTACTGTTTTTTTTTTTTTGAGATGTTGTTTTCCAAATTTTAGGCTTGCAAATGCTTTTTTTTAATTCTGGGTGGTTTCTCAGACCAATAAAAATGTTACTGCTAATGTTAATAACTTCTGCATACACAGAAATTACTCTAAAACTCTTTTTGACTGAGGTTGTTTTTAATGCGTTCTATCCATCCCTTATTGGAACAAATTTCACTTCATAGATTTTCTACTTCAGGGGAATTTTAAGCTGAAACCCCCCCACTGCATCACACTTCACTCCCCCGTTTCACTTACACTCCAGCTTGTCCTCAGGCGTCCCCCTTTCTAACAGCGATAGGTAGCAGACGATGTCCTTGAGAAAGACCACCTGAGGTGACGTCTGTGGGGAGCCTTTCTGAGGCGACGGGCTTCTCCGCAGGGATCGATGCTTCTCTGTAAGTTGCACAACACAAACCTTCAAAGTTACACAGTACCGATCACTGTCTGCGCTGAGGTACGAGCCCTCCGCCTACTTTAATGAGGCTAAATGAGCAACAGCATCTGCAAAATACACACTTTTGCATTAGTTTAACAGGTTTGGAGAGCTGTGATCACAGTATAGCATGTAGAGACAACAGAGAGTTGAGGAAAACAAGCTGAGAAAGCACTATTTATAGTATTATATGGGGGCGGCAATGCCACACAATACGATAAGAGGTCTAAAAGGAAGGAAAAAAGACTAGCAGCTAATAGATTATACCAACTCAACCAGTCATCAGCCTCTCATTCTACTGACAAAGTTTGCAAAGATTTTTATTTTTGCCTTATGCTTTAAAGCATTATAAACAGTGAAACTAAACCCTGGAAGGTCTTTAAAGCGTCTGTTGATTAAAACCTCTTCGAAAGCAAAGCAAAGCCGAGTTCAATTCAGTTTATAGCGCAAATTCACAACACGTCATCTCAAGTCACTTTACAATTAAACCAGATCATACAGTAAATTGATTTAAAGTTTTCTAAGGAAAACCAGTTGATTGCATCGACTCATTACTCATTTTTGGCAACAGTGGAGAGGAAAAACTCCCTTTTAACAGGAAGAAACCTCCAGCAGAACCAGGCTCAGTGTGAGCGGCCATCTGCTGAGGCCCACTGGGGTTCAAGGAGACAGAAGCAGACATAGAAAAAGAAGCATAGATACAAAAGGCAACTGTCAACCAGCTCCACAGGCGTAGCCTCGTGAGACCATCCTGATCTCGCGAGCTTTCAAGGTTTCACTCGCTAATCAGTCTGGAGACTCTCCGTTGAAGAAAATTTGGAGCCGTTCACCAAACGAACGTCCAATCAGCGTTGGCTTTGAGGCGGGTTGAGGTGTGACAGTTCAGTCTAAAGAACATGGCGGCTTCAGCCGATGAAACTAGCGTTAGCGTGGCTATCGAGCAAGTTTTATCAGAATTACAGAGTATTTCTTCACTGAAAGAAGAGCAAAACACTGCTCTGGAGGCTTTTCTCAGAGGAAAAGATGTTTTTGCTCTTCTCCCGACTGGTTTCGGCAAGAGTTTGATCTATCAATTGGCTCCTCTTCGTCGTCGCTCTGTTAGTACGTCATATGCTTCATTGATCTGATTGGTTTATTTGGCCCGTCTATCACCAACATAGGCCAATCAGCTAACCAGTATTTTTGCCCCTTCCAAAAATTACTTCAACGGAAGGTTTCCAGATGGATATGCGGAGCAAATCCATCTGGCGGAGTCAGGTAACCACAGGCGGCCCCGTCCAGGAAACACACAGCCAGGCAGACGAGCTCCGAGCCAGCTCCAATGCCAGAGGACCAAGAGAGCACATCCAGCCAGTCAGTCAGAGAAACAGGACCACACTGAAAAACAGGCCAAGCTCCACTATCTATAAACAAAGGTGTGGCTTTGATAACTAGCGCAGTCATTACATTTCTTCTCTGCTTCTCTGTGCTTTCACTGCATAAAATTATAGAAGCTGCTGGGAATGACGGCAGCTGTGGTCAGTGTGCTAGTTCCTGACAGAATGGGTTCAAAAGAGGCTGAGCTGCACAGTGAATAGTAGTTTTCAGCTTTCTGTATTCTACTGACCTGGAAGAAAAAACATTGTCTTCTGATCGTGAGCTGTTAGTAGCATCATGAATTTATTTATTTTTCATTTTTTTGGGCTGGCTGCTTTTCGTTCTGTTGATCAGTTGCACCTGTGTCCTTCCTTATTAACATCATTCCTGACATATGTTTTCATGTCTTATTAATAATGCATCCGTGTCTCTCTGTCAGTCTTTGCCAGATTGTCTTGTGCTTTCCTGTATGAGAGGCACTCCAGTGTCATTGTGCACCACCTGCCTTTCTGTTTTCTTCTACTCGAACTCTCATTGGATTCTTTCTGGCTTCAGACTCTGGTCATGTCCTGGATTGTTTTTGCCTGTCTCCAGTTTGCTCAAATCCAGTCGATAAAGTGCCAGCGCTTTATCGATAAAAAGAATGTCACCCACTCAAAGCCTGTCAGCCGCTGATTACGTTCTTATCTGCCTCCTTAAAGGAATAGTACACCCAAAACATGATTAGCCTTCATTTTCTACTCACCCCCATGCTGAACAACACTCTGGAGTACTTTTTTGATATCTCAAATGCATCTGGAGATCTGGGAGGCTTCTTGCTGTCTGCTGACATTCAAATAATGGAGGTCTATGGCGACCGAGGCAGAAAGGTCCATAAAAGTCCACAAAAAACGTGTCAATATTCCTCCATACTGCTCGTCCAATGTATTCCAAGTGTCCTGAGTGGGTAGCGTCCATAATTTACTCAAAACGAAGTCATTTAGAATGTTTTTAGAGCATAAACAGTAGTGTATAGGATTTCCTAAAAGCGCGATCACGAGTCTACGGAAACCGCAGCAGACCAAACCAGATGAAAGTGAGAACGAGTTCTCCCTTAAAGTCCTGTGTGTGAAGATGGTCATTTTACTCAAAGGGGGAGAGATCTTGTAGCCATACTCACCTGAGGAGAGCTTTGGGGACACTGGGGATTTGGTAGAACCAGCATTGGGGTTCAAGGCATTGCTACAAGCCTCTGAAGGTTTGGCCTGCATGCACGGCGATCGATGCCCCCCCCCGGGCGTGTGGGCCGCTGTTCCCGACCGCTGTGAGGAAGAGCGGGATGAGCAAGGGGAAGTGGTAGCTCCTGAGCCCGCTGCACTCATCACACCGGAGTGCTCTGGGGTATGTCGGCCCATGGCAGACAGGATGCTCTTTCCGTTCATCCCTGATGGTGTCAGACAGAAGGGAAAACATCACAGAGGTTAGAGAGGAATTTACTTTAAAGGAGTAAAAAAAAGAAAAAAAAAGTTTTCAACTTTACAACAACGGTTATAAAAAGGACATTAAGGAAGCATGGGGGAGAAGGAAGCAGAGAAACACTGCGTTAGAACTAGACCAATTACAAAGCATCACCGCCAAAGTGCCACTGACTGATTCACAGACCTGATAAAGTGCCTTACAAAGTATTCATACCCCATTCTCACATCTCATCACATTACTATCAAAAACTTCACTATTTCTGAGCCGTTCATAGAGGAAGCACTGATCACTTTTCTATAACTCCTCTCCAATTATTCATCCTCTGCAGTTGCTGTCATTAACTTTACCTCCCAGTTTATTTTTTCACTCCGTTTACTCTTTATAAAGGTATTTCTATTCTAAAAATACCAATGCGATCGGTTTGGTAACTTCATTTAAATGATTTCATATCTTTTTTTGTCATATCATTTTATATCGTAGATTTTATCTATAAAAACTAGATTTGCTTTGGCCAAATTCCTTAAAATACTTTATGTGGCTTTGCAAAATGTCTCAGACCAACATAATGTAGAGAATATTATAAAGAGGAAAATTTGGCTGTGACTCCATCCTGAGCGGCTGCCATGTTTGTGCTGATGTTTCTAGATGTTGGAGCTGGGCCTGTTTTTCAGTGTAGTCCTGTTTCTCTGACTGTGACTAACTGGATGTGCTCTCTTCATCCTCTGACATGGGAGCTGGCTCGGAGCTCGTCTGCCTGGCTGTGTGTTTCCTGGACGGGGCCGCCTGTGGAGCTGGTTGACAGTTGCCTTTTGTATCTATGCTTCTTTTTCTATGTCTGCTTCTGTCTCCTTGAACCCCAGTGGGCCTCAGCAGATGGCCGCTCACACTGAGCCTGGTTCTGCTGGAGGTTTCTTCCTGTTCTAAGGGAGTTTTTTCTCTCTACTGTCGCTGCAAGCATGCTTAGTGTGAGGGTTTGATGAAGAGTCGATGCAATCAACTAGTTTTCCTTGGATAGAACATTTTTAATAAATTAAACTGAATTGAAAATGAAAAAATATATTTGAAAAAGTTTACAGATAAAAAAAAACATGGCATAAATATGCTTTACACCGTGTTTAATCTGATGATGTAAAACATTTAGCTTTCAGAAGTCAGAATTTATTTAATCTTAGCTGTTCTGTTTTTGGTATAAAACCCTGGAGAGGAGGTGGTTTTAAAGTAAAGTGAGGTTCTAAAACATTATCTCAGGTGTTAAATGCCTCCCAGAGCTCTCTATGCAGCTCATCTTCTGAGAGTAAAAAGATGATGAATGATTTGGAAACACAAAGAAATGTTTCTCCATTAATACTGACAAGAAGAAGAAGCCAACTGTCCTATCGGAACTTTAGAGGAGCTGCAGAACTTCCAGCTCAGGTGGTTAAATCTGTCAACAGCTAGCCAGCAATTCTAGAAAAGAAGGAAAGGTTAAAGAATTCCTATTTGAATGTGAGACAAACAAACAGAGGGAATTTTGTTCCGTTGTTGTTTAAATCAAACAACACGTTTTCTTAATAAAAAATTTAATGAAAAATGAATAAAAATTAATAAGTACATTTTCTGTTTTCTAAGATTTAATTCATTTATTTAATAGTTTTTAAAAATGTTTCATTATTTCAAAATTTATTTTTGTAGCGTTATAAAAAAAAATGTTTAACCAGATTTTATATTTTAAAGTTTCATCTATTTTTCTTCATAAGGTTGGATTTAATGAAAAGCATTCTTTTCATCTTAAGTTTTACAGACTGCATTCCTTTCACTTTAGCCCAATAATAATGTTGTTGCTATCGTCCATCCAGGGCAATATCTTTAATTAGCAACGCTCCCGGGGAAAACCTGCCCCCAAACGTAAAGAGAATGTCAAAAGAATGCAATTTGTAAAACTCAAACGGAATAAGAGAAATTTTAAATTAAAAAAAGGAAGCAATTCAAGAGAGAATATTTAAATAAAATATGAGACAACAGCAAAGTTGCAAAGTTTTCAAAGTTTCATTTTTGGATGGGTTTGTTTATTTAAATTTCCATTCATAAAATGTATTCTTTGCTCTTGACAATGCAACAAATTCTGCTCCATACAAACATATAGTTAAAATGAGACAATCTAATTTTTTTTCCTTATGTTTCTGTGGTGAAGTGAAAGGGAACATGATGCATGATTTCTGTTCAAAGACACTCACTGACAAATCAGACTTAGATTCTCCTATCTAGCATGGAAGAAAATTAAGTCAGTCTCTAATTGAAATCTAAATAAGTCATTTTTTCTTAAAATCAGTGCATTTTGTCCTGAATGAAGGAGGTAAGTGAGATATTTTGTAAATAGAAGACAATTTACATTTAAACTAAATAAAAGCAAATGCATTGTCTAATTACCAGTGTTGTATAAAGTACTGAAATCTCGGAGTCCAGTAAAAGTATAAGTACACTGCAAAAACAATCTGAAATTAAGTAAAAGTTTCTTAAATCAAGTGTATTTACCCTTAATTTGAGCAGGTAAATAAGATAGTTTGCCAGTGGAATGAGTATTTTTACACTTAAAATAAGTTAATTAGATAATATGCACTTGAAATAAGACAATGCAATTGGTTTTTCTTATTTCAAATGTCAATTGTCTCGTTCCATTGGCAAAGTCTCTCATTTATCTCCTCAAATCAGGATAAAATGCACTTATTTTAAGAAAAAAATGACTTATTTAGATCTACATTTTTTGCAGTGTACCTCTCCAAAATATAATATATAAAGTCACCGACTGAAATGTTACTTGAGTAAAAGTCTTCAAGTATCTGAAATGGCTTGTACTTTAGTATAAGAATTACTGTAAAAATAGATGTACTCAAGTAATGTAGTGAAAAGTATAAGTAAAAAGTAAGTGCAGTTTTAATTACATTTTTTTTTTACATTTTGGTAAACTTTGAAGGTTAAGATCACTTAAAATAATCTAAACAATCAAGTGTAGGATAAATTTAGACTGGCTTTGTGAAACAGGCGTATCTTATTGGTGTTGATAAACGAACCCAGGCAAGACCCGACTTTGTAGTCAGTAGGCGGGGTCAAAACACCTGCGTTTCTCTCGCTTTTTTTTTTTTTTTTTTNTATAAGTACACTGCAAAAACAATCTGAAATTAAGTAAAAGTTTCTTAAATCAAGTGTATTTACCCTTAATTTGAGCAGGTAAATAAGATAGTTTGTCAGTGGAATGAGTATTTTTACACTTAAAATAAGTTAATTAGATAATATGCACTTGAAATAAGACAATGCAATTGGTTTTTCTTATTTCAAATGTAAATTGTCTCGTTCCATTGGCAAAGTCTCTCATTTATCTCCTCAAATCAGGATAAAATGCACTTATTTTAAGAAAAAAATGACTTATTTAGATTTAGATTTTTTGCAGTGTACCTCTCCAAAATATGACTTTGGTAAAAGTCCAAGTCACTGACTGAAATGTTACTTGAGTAAAAGTCTTAAAGTATCTGAAATGGCTTGTACTTTAGCATAAGAATTACTGTAAAATTAGATATACTCAAGTAATGTAGTGAAAAGTATAAGTAAAAAGTAAGTGCAGTTTGAATTACATTTTGTTTTACATTTTGGTAAACTTTGAAGGTTAAATTCACTTAAAATAATATAAACAACCAAATGTAGGATCAATTTAGACTGTCTTTGTGAAACAGACGTATCTTATTGGTGTTGATAAACGAACCCAGGCAAGACCCGACTTTGTAGTCAGTAGGCGGGGTCAAAACACCTCCGTTTCTCTCGCTCGTTTTTTTTTTTTTTTTTTAACTTAGTAACTAAACCAAACATTGAAAATGTATCGGAGTAAAAGTATGCATTTAAGTTTGTAAATGTAGTGAAGTAAAAGTGAAAGTTCTCAAAAAAATTGTTGTTGTTACTATACAACACTGCTAATTACAAGCACATATTATCTAATTATCTTGTTTTAAGAGTAAAAATACTCATTCAATTGGTAAATCATCTCATTTACCGACTAGAATTAAGGGTAAATACACTTGATTTAGGAAATGTTTACTTATTTCTGGATCGTTTTTTTCAGTAGAAGAGCAAAGCTGTGAATGACACACCCTAAAAGGCTCTATCCATTTTTAATTCAGTCAAAAACATGGCCTATTTATTTTCTGTAAAGCCTTTCGAAAATTCATCATTTTTTTAATTATGCACCAATTCGTGGTGCATAAAACTCACATAATTATAACGCATAATTTCCACCTAAACACACTGGAATGTGTGATGGTAGTGTTAAAAGTTTTTTGGGGTATAAACACATTTGCATGGCACTGTACCAAGAGCCCTCCATCACGCACACACACACGCACAACAACAGCACACAACCACCAAGGAGCATGAGGTCACAGCCAGCAGGACTCTTGTCCCGTTAAGCCAGTGTCACCGTGGCGACACCAGCCAGTGGCCTGCTGTGGTACCTGTAATGGGAGCACAGGCCACTTCAGTCTGAATAGAGATGCCTGCATCAATGGAACGGGCGTCTGTGGTCAGTGATTCATTCAAGGAGACAGAAAAACAGCGACAGAAGTGAAGAACAGCGAAGAAAGAGTTCAGGGGTAAACTCATACATATAAAACCTGCTCCTCTGTCTTATAGCGGAGGTTAAAAAAGACCTTTATCATTTGCTTCATAGGAGATATTTCCTTAAGGTGGACAAGAGGGATTAATCACAAACAGCAACATACAAACTATAGGCAGGGGAAAAAACATTTAAACCATGTTTCAACATTATGAGCTGTAGATAAAAGAATAAACTACTTTAAAATTCATTGTATTTGATCCAGAACAAATTAAGTAGATGAATGTAATGAAGATGGCCACTAGGTGTCAGTATGCACCATGATCGGTGTCTTCGTTTGTATCACTGGACCCCAGCACACTATGCATAGAAACATAGAGTTGATTTTATTCCTGAAGCGACTGACAGATCAGCCACCATATTCAGACCATTTCCTGGAAAGGGACGATCGCTCTCAAGCTCAAATAGCAGTGCTGAAGGGGGGGTAGGGGGGTTCTGGAACTGAATTATATCCATCGAGATGCTGGACGAGAGACAATAAATTTGTGGTATTTCTCTGAGGCCTGAAAAAGTACTTAAATCAACAAATTCTTCAGTTCTCTGTAAACTAGAAGACATGTTTGGTTCCAACTCTTCTAAAAGAAACATGGAGATGCAGCCATTAAAGAAGCAGGTGTTGCTGCAGACTGAGAGGAAAAGTAGATGATAAAAAGTTGGTGAAGTTTCTCAGTCTTCCAGGTCAGTCATTCCCAAAAAAGTAAAAAAAAAAAACAATCCACTGGACTTTGTTTCTAAGTTTGAAGACGTTTTGGTTCTCTTCCAGGAAGCTTTTTCAATTCAGTGTCAGAAATAGCGTTGAGTTCGAGGCGCTTATCGAGTGGTCCAAAGCAAAGCCTTGTTTTGGCTTAGAAAACATGCAAATTGACCCGGATGAGCCGGTCCGCCCCTTAGGAATGGGGGTAGTTTTGTTTCTTTGTTTGCCTGCAATGCCCGATAAATGTTTATGACTCTGAAAGTTGAAATTGTTGGCCTGGCTGAAACAGGCGAGGTGTTTTAGTCTCCTCTATGGGGGTCGGGGTTGCAATGATAGCGGGAAGGAATCAACTCAATAGCTGCATTGGAAAAAAATCGAAATCTAGATAAGTAATGTTTTTTCTAAAATAAATGCTTTTTTTCTTGAATTGAGGAGGTAAATGAGACACTTTGCCGATGAAATAAGACAATTTACATTTGAAATAACAAAAAATGATGTCATTGTCTTCTTTCAAGTGCATATTATCTAATTATGTTATTTTAAGAGTAAAAATCCTTATTTTATTGGCAAAATCATGTTATTTACCTACTCAAAAAAAGGCTAAATACATATAATTTAAGACATTTTGAGTTATTTCTAAATAATGTGCCATGTGCTGATTTTGAAAGCTGAAATCTGAGACCGCCCAGTTCCAAAGGCGCATTTGCATGTTTTCTAAGACAAAAATGAATTAGTGAATTTCTCCGCTATGAGATCAATAAAGCTCATCTAATCTTATCTAATCTAAAAAAGTGTTTTTGGTTCACTCTATAAAGCCTTGAACTTAACTCTATTTCTGACACTTTGAATTGGAAAAGCTTAGTGGACGGGAAGAGAAATGTCTTCAAACTTGTAAACAAAGTAGAGTGGATTGTTTTTTGGAAGAGAAAAAAAGTCTTTCCTGCCTTTTGAGGCTGCAGGAACAAAATTATTCAGATTTCTTAATGGAAACTCCTCAAGTAAAACAGAAATGATAAGTAACACCTCTCTATTTAAAAAAACATTTTTCTGACTGACCCAGTTTCTGATTCAGCTGCCCGTCTGTGAGCTCAGCTGCTCTGCAGGGAGAACCAAACTGGAGGAAACTGGAAACTGTGGAAACAGCGAGCCAGACGGTTTACACGCGGCGCAGAGATGTCTGCTCTGTACGGAAGAGGATTAGGGCCACTGAAAAAAAAAAGTTAACTGATTTTAAAATTTTATTGCAGTTTAACATGGGAAAGNTGCTTCGCTTCTTCTTCTTCTTCTTGTTTACTACTGGTGGTTGGCTTTGGTCGCAGTACCGCCACCTTCTGCTCTGGAGTGTAAACGCTTCGCCTATGAGAAAAAGGAGCAGCATGAACCGAACGCAACACACGAGAACCGAACGGTTCGGACGGTTTTCATAAATCGTCCCATCCCTAGTACGTAGATGGAAAATTGAAGGGCCGAAAATCTTTCCCAGTCCAAGCCTGGACGGATTTGATGACGTCAAATGGAAAATATCAATTCCAGTGGATTGTTTTCCTTTTTGTTTGGAATGACTATGACCTGAATGACTGAGAACCTTCGCCAGCATACCTTAAGTCTAAGATTCTCTCACTTTTCAAAGAGAATCTGCCACTGACCATCAGAGACCTGCGATGGAAAAGACCAAGGAAGCTCCTCCAACGCTGTGTTTTTACCTCAATGTGCACAGGTGGAGGTGTTATAAGGGGCCCGGTGTGAACGCAGCATTGAAGAAAAACCTTCAGAGTGGTAGGAAAGCTAAGAAACACTACGTTAAAAGTCCTAATTTTCTCTGCTACTTTTCCTTTTTCATTTCAAACCATTAAACCATGAAAGCAGAGCAGAGAGCGCCTACCTGGGGCTGATCTCCCGGCTCATGTCTGCCAGGTCATCCAGCTGGGCGACGTTCTGAGGAGCAGCAGAGTCACCATTGGCTTTGACGGCTGACGCCAGTTTCCTCAGGCATCCTGCGGCTGCCTTCATTAACCCCTGACATGGGCCCATCACCTGCCGGTCCCTCTCTGACCAGTACATGTCCCGGTTGCCCCGAGGGTTGCCTTCATCCTGGTCATCGTCCAGAACGTCATTGAACGGGTCCTGAGCTTCAGATAGGGCCTGTGTTCATTAAAACATCCCAGGAAAGAACCAATATTCCCAGTTACTCAGCAGGAAATCCAGTTTACTGAAGCAACAGTGTCTTTAGAACGGCGACTACCGATGCAGATTACTCTGTCAGTCTAACTAACCAGGCAGGAGCTTCTACTTTCTGTTAGGGTCAATTCCTGAAGCCTATCATGTTTTCTCTTCCTCCGTTCACATGTTTAGATAATAAATGTTACACGTTTATCAAAAACAAAACACAAAAAACACAATAAATAAATAGGATATGCAGCTATCAATTCTATTTATAATTGATTCATTTATTTAACGAATATTTCTAGTGAATCCTTTAAAATAAAAAAAAGTTTATTGCGCCTTGGTAAACGGCCAAAACAATAAATGCGATTTACGTACATATGTATGTAAACAAACCAATAAAATGGAGATCTGTCAGTAGCTTGTTCTTTCAGCAAATGGCCTGTTTTACAGAGTGCTTCCCATTCTGAAACGCGTCCATTACCTAATTAAAAGATAACTAATTCAATAGCGTTCAAGAATCAAACCGAACACCAACAATGGAGCAGATGGAGGGAGCAGCGATGCATTCACCTCACCTGATTTTAAAGCACGGCTGCTGAATGAATCAGCCGATACCGATACAAGAAAAAAAAGGACAAATATCGACCCCAAATATCTACCAACCGGTAGGAGCAAAAATGGCCGATTGATAATAAAGACCCAAAGACTGTCAAAGCGCTTACCTGCTCCAATTCCTCGATAGCATCCTTTACAACTCCAGTCTGAGAGGACAGAACCACCAGCAGAGCTCCCTTATTTTCTGTCAGTAAACAAACATAAAGCCATTTTAATCTAGTCTGGACTTTTCTTTAGGCTTCCTTTTTTTTTAGGCTTTCAAAAAGTGTTTATTATGATGTAAAGCAAACCAACGAGAAGCTAATGGTGACCACATGGTGCCCCATGCTGACATGGTCTGAGCCGCTCTTTATTCCATACTGTTCAATAAATGATCAGTGTTTTTACTTCAGAGTAATTTTCATGTGAATGTGCTTT